AATTATATATGTTTTCATGTTTTTGTCAAACTTCTTCGTAAATGTTTTGTCAAGACTTCTTCGTAAATCAGACAAAAATAATGTTTAGGGTAGAAGGTTAGATATAACCTCTTTTCTAACCTCTTTTCTACCCTCTTGAATTTGTCAAGATTTCTTCGTAAATGTTTTTGTCAAGACTTCTTCGTAAAGACTTTGTCAAGACTTCTTCGTAAAGACTTTGTTGAGATTTCTTCATGAAATTTACACCAAAAATAATGTTTAGGGTAGAAGGTTAGATATAACCTCTTTTCTAACCTCTTTTTACCTCTTGAATTTTCATGAAATTTACACCAAAAATAATGTTTAGGGTAGAAGGTTAGATATAACCTCTTTTCTAACCTCTTTTCTACCCTCTTGAATTTTCATGAAATTTACACCAAAAATATATTTTAGGTGAAGAGGTGAGATATAACCTGTTTTTCACCTAATTTTTCACCTCTTGAATTTTCATGAAATTTACAACCAAAATATACTACTAGGGTCATTTACGAAGAAATTCAACAAAGTCTTTACGAAGAAATCTCAACAAAACATAGACAAGAAAGTTCATGAGAAATTAGATGAAGAAGTCTTAACAAAGTCTTTACGAAGAAATTCATGAAAATTCAAGAGGTAGAAAAGAGGGTAGAAAAGAGGGTAGACCTACCCTTCTACCTAAAATATATTTTGGGTCATTTACACTCATTTACGAAGAAATCTCAACAAAGTCTTTACGAAGAAGTCACAATAAAACATCTGTCAAAAACCGCTTTTTTAACTTCACTTAAAATGCCACGTAAGCTACGTAAGAATATACGTAAGAGGAAGGGAGCATTGAAACATCCAAAAGTAAACTAACACCACAACAACAGTTGCAACAACAAATGCTGAATGACCCCACTATGTGCAACAAATGTCAAGCAATCCTATGCTTTTAAACCGAGTTGTTGGTGCACAGAGTGGAGGTTTAAGAGCGGCACTTTAGCGAAAATGGCAGGCTATGGTGAGCTGCAGCGGAACAGAGCCTAATAACCCTCAAAGTCAAATGAATTTGAGTTCACTCAAAAATCAAATAACAGATGTCAAAAAGTCAAACATGACATACAGAAGCAAATAAGTGAAAACGAAAAGAAACTAGAATATGACAGACACACAAAGAAACTCAATGAGTTAAACGTTAGAGAAAAAGAAGAAAGAAGAACAACTGAAAGAACTAAGTACAGAGGAATATGC